TAATATTTGGCTTTATCTTCTCGAGCTTATTTTTGAAATTTTTCTGTTCAGCTCTTGTACCTCTTCAATTCATCCATTTGCTTTAGCATCTCTACACTGGAGAGCAAGTTTCAGTGTCTCTTCTGACATCCATTTTGACCTTATCCTTCTTTCTTGTCTTCTTAATGGGTTTTGGCTTTCTTCATGTATGATGTTCTTGATGTCATCCCACAACTCTTCTGGTCTTTGGTCTTTAGTGTTTAATGTATCATATCTGTTCTTCAGATGATCTCTAAATTCAAGTGGGATACATCGAGGGTCATATTTTGGCTCTGGTGGACTTGTTTTCATTTTCTTCAGCTTCAGTTTGAATTTGCATATGAGTAATTGATGGTCTGTTCCACAGTCTGCCCCTGGTCTTGTTTTGACTGATGATATGGAGCTTTTCCATCATCTCTTTCCGCAGATGTAGTCAATTTGATTTCTATGTATTCCATCAGGTGAGGTCCATGTGTATAGTCGTCTCTTACGTTGTCTAAAGAAGGTATTTGAGATGAACAAATCACTGATTTTGCAGAATTGTATCATGTGTTCTCCAGCATCATTTCTATCATCAAGGCCATATTTCTCAACTCTGATCCTTCCTCTTTGCTCCCAACCTTTGCATTCCAATCACCAGTAATGACCAATACATCTTGATTGTATGTTTGATCAGTTTCAGATTGAAGAAGTTGGTCGCATTCTTCTATTTCATCCTCACTGGCTTTAGTGGTTGGTGCGTAAATTTGAATGATAGTGGTATTAACTAGGCTTCCCTGTAGGTGCATGGGTATTTTCCTATCACAGACAATGTTGTACCTCATGATTGATCTGGATATGTTCTTTTTGACAATGAATGTAACACCATTCCTCTTGAATTTGTCATTTCCAGCATAATAAACCATGTGGTCATCAGATTCAAAATGGCCAATACCAGGCACTAATATTTCAGCTCACTAATATCAAAGATATCAATGTTTATGCATTCCAATTCATTTTTGATAACTTCCAATTTCCCAGATTCATACTTTGAACATTCCCTGTTCCAGTTTTCAGTGGATGTTTACAGTTGTTTCTCTTCATTTTGAGTTGTGCCCTATCAGGAAATGAAGGTCCCGTGGGTTTTTCTCCCATAAGCTTTACTCCATTTGCGTTATCAAGGTGAGCTCTCCTTTGAGGAGGCAGCTCTTCTCCAGTCGCATTTTGAGTGCCTTCCAATCTGAGGGGCTCATTTTCCGGCACTATATCTGACAGTGTTTCCTTGCTATTCATAAGGTTTTCTGAAGTAGTTCGTCACTCCTTCTTCCTAGTCTGTCTTCGTCTGGAAGCTCATCTGAAACCTGTCCACTATGGGTGACCTTGCTGGTATTTAAAATACCCGTGGCATAGCTTTCAGAATCACAGCAACTCACAAGCTACCACAGTACGACAAACTGACAGTACGACAAACTGATATATATATATCCACCACACATCTGTCAGTACAACAAACTGATTTTATATATATATATATATAGTTGTTGTTGTTGTTATGTGCCGTGGAGTCGGTTCCGACTCACAGCGACCCTGCACAGGGTTTCCGAGGCTGTAAATCTTTATGGGAGCAG